ATATTTACAACGTATCCTATATACAAGGAACGTTTGAAAAACAAAAAGGACTAAATAGTTTAGGATAGGTAAAGTGCCTACAGAAAATTGGCAAAAAGTAAATATCTGTACCTTTATGTTGAATTTAAGAATATCTTATAATGATGTACTACCATTAACTAAAAAAATACTTTGGTTAATTTTTTATATAATATAATATTTGTAGCCTTAAAGTGCCGTTATTGGCCACTTTCGCTAATATTGATGTTATTTTTCTACACATTCAGAGCTTTTTTCAACACCTTTGTGGTGTTCAAGCAACACATCCTTTTATTAAGTTATCCACCCTCACGAGTCGCATGATATATTGAAAAATCATTTTTCTTACACAGTGCGATCAACACTTCCCGGGGGCCAAAATATTTCTTTGTTAAATAACATGTCGAGATATTTTTCGGCTGAATAATGTTAGTAAAACATTTTCTATTGCTAATATGTGACATGATCGAACTGAGTGTGTGTTTTATAGCAAAGACAAATCGGACTAGCTGTAGTGCCCTCAGAGAGGTATCGAACCCATGATTTCTAGCGTTGTAAGTCCGTAGACTTTCCGCTGTGCCACTGGGGGACAAAGAGCAATGTGAGACTGGGCTCAGTGAAAGACCACGCTCACCAACGCCCTAGATATGCATTGTTTGTCATCTTATAATGAATTCCAAGGGAAGAAGGTCTGTTTTTGAACATCTTAATGTGGAATATAATTAAGAATTTATTTTCTGAGTGAAAATAAACTGAATATGAAGACGATGTATAAATTCGCAATGTATGTAAATGCAGCATTTTCAATATAAATACTAATAACTTCCGATCAGAGTAATCTATGTACTTAGAGCGAAGATAAAAGTCAACCTGGCCATCAACATAGTTAATTAAATATACATTTATTACGTTTCTACATAAAAAAGCAAGGCTATAATTCGTTGTTTCACCGGTTTGGTACTCTTACTGTAAAGATATTGTTACGCCTCCATTCGCTAGTTAATTTCCCGTATAATTTCTTTCCAATGAAACTTTAGCGACACAAGTCCTTTCTTAAATAAAACTGGTTTGTTTTTTCTGAATACAACTTTGCAATACACTTAATTTCCACAGTCACGCTATAACAAACGCTATAACTCACATCGAACGACTCGCGTGCTCGACTCAATCGTCAATCTCTGTCTGCAGGTCAATTACACACATTCATTCTGCCGTCAGTTCTTACCGGTCTTATATACACAAGAATACCGCATATCTAGTAAAAGCTCGAGACTTCACGAACCTTCGAGAATATGACGTGTTACTAGAGTCACGTGACCTCCGCTGTAGTAACAATATTTTTGCCGTAATCCCAATAATATCTCATAAGGTTCGGCCAGCTTACGATTTAAGCTAGCCCTAAATATAAAATTGAAGCTAACAATGCAAAGCAATCTTTATAATGAAAGTGTAATACTGAACGACAAATGAAAATAAAAACAATTACATATTATATACTAATTAGTATAACAGATGTTATCAATTCATGTACCAACAAATAAATAAAACAACATACCTTACTTAAGTTACCCACAAAACACTAGTTCTTGCCTTTTGAATCATATTCATTGATGTATATTTGTTTGGATTATTTCTCTCTCTAATACCGCACTTTACCAAAGAAAACCCATTACGGCACCCCTACTATATAACGTGAGAAGCTATCGTACCTGTGATAATTAATGCCATATGTTTTAGTTTAAATTAAACCTTGTTGAGTTTGTTGCATCAACTTTCTCATGGCACAAACAAAACCCGATGTTTATGAAGATACAAAAGAGTAAATAAAAAATAGTAATTGACATGACAGTTATAGTATAACAGTGCTAAATGTAATAAAAAGAAAATTAACTAAACTTAATTTTAGTTTGTCTAAAACACATTTACCACCACTCTTACTTATCTACCCCCCCCCCCTGTAACAAACACTTAGAAGCACCCCTCCCTCCCCCAGTGGCTTAGCGGTTTGAGGGCTCATACTGTTAAAAACCAGCACAAATAACCCATTGTGTAGCTTTGTGCTTAACAACAAAACAAAGGAAACAAATTCAGAAGCAGTTGCAGAAAGTAATAGATAACGTTCAATCTTCTCTAAGAGCCGAAAAGGAAAAACGATCAGCCTCTAGAAGTACAATGCTTCATAAAAACAATACATTGCATATAATATGACAAAGTAAATATATAAAACTAATCCAACGGTTTACTATTAGTGGTCATTACACTAAATCGACTGACTATTACCCCAAACAACATCCCAAGGAATCAAAGTGTAAATATTAAAGTTTTTAAAACCTTCAAATCCCATAGTCTTTAGCAGGTATACTGTGTTTAATTTTTGCAATGAGAAACTTCAGTTACGAAAAATGCGCGAGTTTACAAGCTCCAGCCACAATATCTTGTAATGATGAACAAATTCTATTTTATTTAACAAGCTGAGAGTAGTAAACGTTTTAACACAACTTGTTTGGAATAGTTGTATTTGAGAATGGAAAGTTTATAGCTTCGAAATTGAAAGTTTTAATTTTTATTAAAGACTTTAAATAATGTGTGATTAATGATGACGACATCAAAATCTAGACGGTGGAAGTGTTTTTTCTTCTGGTGAGCTCTGGCGGGTAAATTTGTCCAAAAACCTTGATAATTAGGAATATCCTTTATATATCTGCAAGTGAAATTGATGTACAAAGCATTACTATGGTTTTTTCCCAATAAAGTTAGTGATGTGTGAAAATTCTACTGCCATTAAATATCAATCTGCAACTAGCGGATTGAACGTACCTCCAACTCGAATTCTCTGTATTTGTTGGAAGACATTTGGCCAAATTGCACAAATATATGTATTATTAAGTCAAGAATTCGTTTAATGTGAAATAGTGATCATTTTTGTTCGTGCTACAAAAAGTTCTGTTTACTGACTCAGTATAATAATTTACCAGAATTATTGAAAAACCCTGAAATTGGTGATTATGTTTATATCTACCAGTAAAAAGATTACTGAAACTAAATATTTCTTTTGATATAGTTTTAAAGCCTTTAATTTTCTCTTTACATTCAATGGAGTTGCAAGTGGTAATTAACGGATTAATCCCGTCCCTCTCTTTGATATTATTACAGCTTTTCCTAAAAATTATCTTTAACATATTTCAGACCATTAATTATCAGAATTGACAAATCCTTAATCGTAGCTATTTATCCTGTCAATAAACCTGTATTCACGTGGTGTTTTATGTATTTTGAGAATCTAAAATAATTTAAGTATAACATTGTAAGACTTGCCAGAATATATATCAGTCGGATAAAACTGTAATGTTTTAATATATGACTAGCAGAGACCCGCAAAACATTTCAAATTAGTATTTTTATCTTAACAGTACTTATTTAAATATAACATTTCTAGCGCAATACAAACGAATTGTAATCGCAGACAACGAAATGTGTAAATCCGCTTGTATATAGGCGGTACTTTAAATATGTTAGGCCTAAATTCGATAAAGAGATAAATTAACACTGTAACCTGTGTACGTTGTTTTTTTTACTTTAGTTTAGTTTGGACTAAACTTTACTGTACTTAATACTATCGATAAATAAACTTATAATGTTATTCTATGACCTAACGTCAAACCTTTGATAGGATTTTAATATTCTGTTGTACAAAATGGTTAATAAAGTATATTTACATTCCCCTTTTGTTGTTACTTCTTGTTTCATACAGCAATTGTAGCGACTTGGTCACTGAGCTTTGCAGCTCTCTGCCGCAGGCAGACTGTTTGTCGTCGAGTGAATAATTCGGATGCGCGGTTTTTCTTGGGGAAACATTCTAACTACACATGCTTGCAGCAGGTTCTCGGTCAGAAAGCGTAACGGTCGTACATACAAACAAGCAGAATAGTATAGATACTTGCTGTATCTTATCATTGTATTACATGAATGTTAACGATATTTATAACAAGATTTAATGCCCAAGATAGATTCATCATATGTTAACGAGTTAAGTATCTAATAATGGACTATGAATAAAGCTATTACTGGTGGATTTTTTAGCGATTATTGAAAGGCTTTTTTTTAAGTTTATACGAGGGACCATACACCCTTTCTGTAAAAACCTTCTTTTAAACCATGCCAGTCCTTAGAGAACTTTACAATGAAACTGTATTAAACTTTCATTCAAGCCTTGTTCTTTTCATAATAAACAATTCATTTACAAGAACCTTACAATGCAAGTCAAAACTACTGTAATACACTTTTATTCAAGACTTCAGTTGATAAATTACGTGTTAAGCTTTGTTCTTTGAATACAAGTCCGTTACAAGAACTTTAAGGCAACGTTTGATGAGCTTTGCGTCTTTAGTTTAACTTGTCCATTCTACACTACACTTGAAAAAAATATTTTTAGTGCACTGGATAGGAGTGATTGAATACATGTTTTCTTAATTCCATTTTAAAATAGGTTCTGTTACACACACTCAACAGCATACTCTGATCTAAACAGGAATATCCCTTACTAGACCTTGGAGATTTGAAATAGTTTTCCACTCTCCCATACGAAATATCCCTTGTAATAAAACTAACAGATTCAGCTTAATCTTTTTCTACTATACTAGTCCTTGGAGCTTTAAAACACCCCCTGTAAAAATAGAGAAGAGATTCCAATTGGTTCTACTAGGTCTATTTCTTCAATTTTTAAAATATCCCTTGTGAAAATATTGAACAGATTCAACATGGTTTATTTACTGCTACACTAGTTTTTGGAGTTTTAAAACATCTCTTGTGAAAGTGTTAAACAAATTCAACTTGGTTCTTTTAGTACCAAGTTTACACTCTGTAATCTTTATTGCTAGATAATTTTAAATCAAGTTGGTTCAGAAAGAAACTAGTTTTATTTAATCACCATGAGAAACATATTAAAACTTAAAAAGCATTTAAAGGATATTCAGTTTTTTTTATTAGTATTAGTATACAGTGTGTAATTGTTTCAAATTCCTTAAATGTAATCAATTACATAAAAAGCATAACAGGACATAAAAAAAATCACATTTTTTTCAGAGTTAAATCATCAGTTTGCTAGAAAATGACCTACTGAAATTGTCAGAAAAATGTTCATCAGATCAAAGGGTAAGCCTAATAACAAAAATTCTGTTACAACTTTAAAAGTCTAAAAACTAATACATTTTAAAAATAACTAAAGAAACAGATGCTCAACATTTTCAAAAATTCCAATTTTATAAGAAAATTAAAGTGATTTATCTGAAATGTTAAACACTTAATTAACTTTTCAACTTACACAAAATCACTGGTAGCTTTTTGCATACTGCAAACCTTGAATTAAGCTATATAGATCCAGAATTTACACTTAATTTTACCAGAAAATGTCCTGTAATAATGATTTGCTGGACAAATATGTAAGTGCATGAATTAAAAAGCAGATGGTTTAAAATAAAACAAAAACAATCACAGATTGTATACCATTGCTCTGCCATCCCTCTTCGAGATTGTATACCATCACTCTGCCATCCCTCTTCGAGATTGTATACCATCACTCTGCCATCCCTCTTCGAGATTGTATGCATTTATATTGGATAATGTAACATTTTACCTTCGAAAACTCAGAAAATCTTTCTCCGATCAAGAATGATCAATGATCCGAATCATATTTTGTAGAGTGATGAAGAGTCTCAACCTCAATGTACCCATGAAATTTGGTACAAATCTGAAAACACTTTACAGAGTTATCCGAAAACTGCAAAAATGCCCTATCTTCCCACTATAAAAAATATTTCAAAGTAATCCAGAATCTTGATCCAGACCAAACATGGGAAGGACTGTCTCATTCAGACTTCCCATATTGTGTAAAATTGTTATGTACATCAGTCTATTAGTTTGAGATATTTGTGCAGAAACATAGACACGGACCCAATCGCAATATCCTCACAGAGCAAAGGTAATTAATAAAAAGTGAAAAAGAAAATGTAAACAACTTTTTGTTTACTAGTTTCTTATGTTTATTACTTAGTAATTATCCTTGTAGTAATGAAATATTTTAGTTTCTTCAGTTCGTCTGAGAACAAAGGCAAACTCAAAACAGCACTTGAGATACAGTAGTTTAGCAAGTTAAAGCATCTATTATGTCATTCACAGGTTTGATCTCAATTTTCACTTCTTTAGAAAAATTCTATTGTTTTGCTGTTAAACATTTCAACTCAATTATATTTGTCAATGATCATCATGTATTAAAGGCTTTGTTTTACCTCATTTATTTTTATTAACTCATTCACTGCAGCTGGTACATATATGGTCTCTACATCAACTTATCAGTCAATGCTATCTAGTAAACCCACAAAATAATCTGAATTTTCCCTAGCTTCAGAGGCACTTGCTGCAAGATGTCACACAGGCCACTCTGACATCTTGTGGGGAACTGATGCAAAGAAGGCAGAAATAATTGACAATATATGGCAATGTATAGTGGAATGTCAATGGAAAACATTACCACAAAAATTTATGATCCAATGCATCATGCAGGAATTTTAAAAGCAAGAATCCATATGTGTAACAGCTGCAGTGAACATAAAAAGTTTAGAGGCCATATAATGTATTAACTGCAGTGAATGGGTTAATGATCATTATATAACATAAGCCTTGTATTACTCAATTATTATTTTTTTATCAATGACTATAGCGTAATATTTCCTATTACTTTCATCCAAGGCCATAGTATTTATAGGTTTTATATTACTTAACTACTCTCATCCATAGCCATATGTCACAAAGCTTTTGTACTACTCCACTATTCCTTAAGACTAGTTTTCTTTCAGTTATTCTTATCATTGACCATAATGCAGAATTTTTGTATTATTCCTTTTTTTTTTTTTAACAAATCAACCATCTAATATTCTTAGTCTGATTTATTTGCAAGATTAAATCATTCACTTCTGAATTTAATTTTGACACTGTCCTTATGATGGTAAAAATCATCACGACAGGATAAAAACTAAAATGTACATATTAATATATAGCTATCTTTTCACTCCTCAAAACATCATTAATAAGTACAGCAAAGTTATTCTTACATTTGCACAGTAACAAATCTCACAAGACTTCATTTAAACTGCTTCAATATCTTAGTTACACCTAACTTAAGATTTATCACTTGTAACACATTCTCTTGACCATCATATAACCAAAATAATTGTTTTCTGTATGAATTATTAAAATTGTGATCAATTATCTAGGTTTGCAGTGCAGTTGTAACTAACACACAATTCAGAAACAAACAAACAAAAAATCTAAATCACTGGTGGAAGGGAGCATAACATTTTGTTTATATATAAAAAAAAATACTTTTTTGACTTAAAGTACTTATATAATAAACATTTTAAAATAAAATGAATGAACAGTAAAGCTGATATTAATGAAACCTATAGTTAAATTGAACTCAGTTCTCTGTGAGGGTAACACAACATTAAATTGACTATGCTAATCATCATATAAAAGTAATTACATGCCTGGTGAAACCTACAATACAGATTTAACAAAATTTAATTTATGTAACATAGATCATTAAACCAAAGTGCTGTAATAGAAAAAAAAGTACTTTTAAGTAATTGATTTACCATTAAAAGGGGAGGAGGAGACTCATATCAGTGGTTTTTCTGGACTGGAAGGTTAAAGTTAAGCTGTAATTTCATGTTAGTGTATGTGTGTATGATTAAGAACTTGTCTATCTTTTTAATTACAATAACTTATTACCAATACTTCTTATAATACTTTCTTAGAAAGTTATGTTCCAACTCAGAGTTGGTAAATCGTATGTTTATGTTTATATTATTTACTGTTATTATTAAATAGTTATGGAACTGTGTAAAGTTGGTAAATATAACGATTTTTTAAGGAGAAAAAAATCATCAAAATGTTAAACCTTTTCTTGGAAAATTCAGTGTGTATCTAAAAACTGATTTATATGATCCAATCTTTAAATATTACTTCACATTCAGATGTTGTTGAAATATCCTCACAAATGATAATCTCATTCCAATATACTTTAATGTGAGTATCGATTTATCATGAGTGTTACTGTCAACGACTTATTCGATCCCATCTCCAAACTGTGGCATCATCACTGACACACAACAGTATATTTCCATCACGGTTCAGGCTAGTCTGACGGATGGCTGCTGTACATTTAGGGTGAGTTAGAACTGTACATCTAAAAAAACAACAAAAATATATCAGTATTTTTGTCTTTTAGAAGGAAAATATCCCATACAATTAAAGTTGATAGTATTATTCATAATCAGTTGAAGCATTAGTATGATAATCATATATAAGTAATATTAAAGTAAATATAGTTAACTAGCACATTTTTTAATTATGGTTTTAAACACCTTTATTTTTAAATCTTGAATGGACTACTTGAGAGGAATGTGGAAAACATCTGAAGTTTAGTGCAATTATCAGTAAACATTTGTACTTGATTTTGCACAATCTTTTCAAAATGTATGCCTCCAGGAATAAATACAGGCTACATCAAGGACCCTTGATAAACCTCACTGCAAAGTACTAAATAATGTAAAACATTTACAACATGAAATTGTAGCTTTTTTCCCCAGTTTCAAAAAATGATATTGAAAACTATCTTTTTTCAATTAGCAAATTATGATTCCAAGTGATAGAAATATCCAAGACTTAATAATTCCTAAATAACTGATTGTATTTTCCAAAATAGCTACAATTCCAGTGGAAGAAATTTCTCAGTTTGGAAGAACTGCATTTGATTTTTCTGATTAGAAAAGAGGAACAATCTTGTCATAAAATCTCATCCCTTGCCACATAAACATCACAGTTATGTTACAATTATATTAGGAGACAGTGTTTTTATTAGTTTTAGCACTACACACCAGAAAAATATTTCTCTCATGTTCATAAGTTGTATTCAAGTAAATTGTGAAATTCCTGACCCAAAGATTTGTCAGCCTAGTTTAGAAAATTTGGTTTAAATCTTTGTATTTTCATATAAAAAATTAAATGCCTTATTCCAATGTTTTTTTGGTGTGTTTTATATACTTAACTCCTCCACTTTTTCTACAGTTAAACAGGAAACAGTTGTGGTTGGAGATACAATTTTATGGTTGGTAAAATCTACCTAATGTTGCAAGCAACCAAAAGATGAAATCTAGTAGTCAGGAAAATTAAGCACATCTATTAAATAAGATGTAGTAGTTTGAGTTTTTAAAAGTTCCTTACTAGAAGCTGCAGATTTCCTGTAGTAACTTAATGTTTTTTCATCTCCCTCGAGCAGGATTTGAACCTGAGACCTCTCACACACCTTAAAACCAAGCTAAATGGTTAATCCAACAGCAAATGCTAATAAGATACTTTATAAAAACTTAAACTATCATAATATGTTTGAAACACCAGAAAAAACTAAAAAGAACAATACTACTTCTGCTACATTGAATGTTTCAAACGACTGGAGTATTAAACTAATCGGTTCCATACTTCTTACAAGACTGCATAAATGTTTAATGTTGAAATATATTCACTCCTTATATAATCAAAAAATAAACGGAGATTTTTTTTAGTGTTTTAGCCTAAACATTTTATTAAAATCTACTAAGGACAAGTTCTCAAGAAATATTACTTACAATTATTTATTTGAATGCTTAGTATGCCCTGGGTACTATGAAAAGTTATAAGGAAGAGAATGATCATTTTTAATTTTTGTTTATGAGCAATTATAATTGCAGTGACATACGATTTGCTTGAAATCTATGTTTAGTAACATACATATGAATTGTAAAGACAACAGAAAAACAAAACTAGCATTTCATCATAAAATAGCTTATGATACTCGGGAAATTCAAACTGTGCTATTAATGAAACCATGATGAATGAAACTGAATGTTTGTAATCTTTGAACTTTATTGACATCTACTGACATTCTTCTATGGGAACAATGCAGTTGCTTATTATTAAGTTTGTAAATCTTTTAAATGTTAGATCATTCAGATATAACAACATAAAACTGGCTAAATACTGCTTCAAATAAAATTAGTTAATTTTGAACTCGGTTATATCAAATACATTTCTAAAGATTTGAGAAGAAATATCTAACTGGTTAAAAAACAACACTTTTTATTAATTGAAAAGAACAGTGATATAACTTAACAGCTGTACCTGAAAGAAGAACAGATATACATTAACTCTTTTCAGCATGGGGTCGTTCTATGGGACTGACCTCATAACCATTTTGTGCTTGTTATAGTTTTCATGCTATAACTTTTAAATTA